TTTCTACTGATGTGCAGTAGGCTATACGGTTGTGTTGTTCCTAGTTAAGGTCTATGTACTCTCAATGGCTATCCCCTATTCTAGTTTTTAAGATAAAATCACGCAAAGCAGACAGCGCCCTCTTTTGAATTACAGGAGTTAGGTCTTATGAGCTTTGCTACTTACAAGGGGCGGTCGTCAGGTACCTTGTGCCTTAAATTGATGTCTTTACGGCACATTTTCTAATTTGGACCCTAGTAAGAGATGAGTTTCTCTTTGAACGTAGTGTCCACGTACACACTCTGGAGAAACTGCACGACGTATACGGTGTAAAAAGCTAGCGATGTCACCGACGTTGAGACGGGTCCTGTGCGGTTGTGTTTCTATGGTGGGTGGGAGAGACATAGGCATGCGAAATTTTATCTCAGAATCGACTTGGTGAAGGATGGACCGTTTAGAGCAGGGGCAGGCAAACCGCGGCCCGCGAGGCAGTTTCATGCGGCCCCCGGCACGACACCAGAAACACCCTCCCCCACCATTGCCGCTTCCTCACAGTCTAAAGGACCACACGGTAGTTTTGACCTCAAAAGAAGTTAGATAGGAAGAAGAAGCACTTGCAATTGGTAGTGTCCAACATCCCTATTCACCACATTCCGCGTAAAGCTCGCCACGAGGGCACCACCAGTCACTAAACTATCACGCTGAACCTGACGCTAACGGCAAGTTTCAAGCGTGGAACCTTCGTCAATACGACGGAAATGACGTTTTAAGTACCACGTGATCAAGAATAAGCGTTTGTTTTCTTTGTCCAAGCGTTAGAGCAGTCTGAGGACTCCCGCTCGGCCTTCTTTCCGGACGGGATTAGGAACGTTAGCGTGACGACCGCAAAACACACGCTTAGATTTTCGGAAACACTTCCGCGCCTTCTTTCATCGTCACGCTAATATATATCCCAATGGATTGACCTTCCCTAAAATGTACTTGCGCGTGCTTTTTTGTTTATTTTTTGTTGATGTGGGAGCTTTGTTTCTGGAAGCACAGAGGGCGCCTGGTCCTTTTTTTGGCGGGAAAAGCAAGAAAGCCGTTGCGCTGTTTCCGTGGCTCGTTGGCTCGCTCAGTCAGTTCCCGATACCCTTTGTTTGTGGCTGGACCAGCTTGACTTTGATTGCGACTGGCGAGGCTTAGCGGAAGAGGGCGTACGATTCTGGGCGCAGTGTGCCCAGTTTACAGCACTAGACGTGCGTGGAGTGCCGCGGGGTCGTTGCAAACACAACGAGTGCGAGTGTCCCGAATTTCTGCGCGAGACGGAGCTGAATGCCATCCAAGGAAAGGGCTTACCATTTGGTTGCATGGTGTCTTTACTGCGGCCATTCGCCAGCTATCCATCGACGACTACAATATTTGGGAAAGAACCCTGTTTTCATTTGGTTTATTTGTACAAACCATATAGTTTTTTTTTTTTTTTTAAGAAGAGTTGAGCCCCCAAGCTGAAGTGTGTTTGCCTTTTTCTATATAGTTCGTTTTGGACTGTTCCTTTTGGTAACTGAAGCCTACCGAGATCTCCCTCTCTCTCATTGGTTTTGTAGACACCACGGATAAGCTTGCTCAAATCTTCGCATAAATTCCACAGCTATGAACGGCGCGCAGCTAATTCGCGCAATGTACCAAGCGTACCAGGCATTATCTACGCGACGCATCAGGGCAATTCCTTTTGATTCACAACTGCCATTTGTATATGTATACATAATTATACATGAAGCAGCCGCGTTGGGCTTCATTGAACTACTCAATTCGCCAGGTGCAGTCACTAGAGAGATTTAGTAGAGTGATTTTCAGCTCCGATAACCATATCAGATAACTACATGATGCATGGGCGCCCTTGCGTTTATACGCTTATTACGGCGTGCGTTTTCTCCACGCTTTGACGATGACGTCTTCTATACTCTGTTTCAACTTACGATGTACCGCAGGAAAGGCTACAAGCGCGAGCTCCTTGCTCTAGGGCACATTTCGGCGGCACAAGCTCTCGTGCATTAAGAGCAGCTGCCAATGAAATGAGCTCGCGCTTCTAGCCTTCTCTGCGGTACAACATAAGGTGAAACGGAGCATAGGCGTGTGAAATGCGCGTCGCGGTTGAAACCTCTGACTGCGGGCATTGAGCTCTCTCGCATTTAGTATATCGTCCCAATAACTAAGATTATTCGGACGATATACTAAATGCGAGAAATCCCCATGCTCGCGGTGAGAGGTTTCCATTGCGACGCGCATTTCACACGCATAGAAGGTGTCATTATCCCAGCGTGGAGAAAACACACGCCGTAATAAGCGTGTAAACACAAGGGCCCCCTCACGCCTGCCACGCGTTAAACCATAGCACAGTTCACGCTTAGGAATCATGAACTCTACGCTTTGAAAAACGCCACGCTTAGAACACGCGTGTAAAAGTCGCTTTGTGTCACGCCTGCCAAGCGTTACACCATAACGCAGTTCACGCTTAGGGAGCGTGAATTATAAGCGTTGAAAAACACCACGCTTAGAACAAGCGTGCAAAGGGTCGCTTTGCGTCACGCTTGCTCTGTGTGACCATTTTCAGAGTGTATAACCGTAAAGTGCCCCGCGAGACTTCCGGTCGCTCTCGGCACGCGTAGTACGCCGGTGTTTATTGTCAGTTGTTTACTGCGCAGTTCGGCGGCTTGGTTGTTTGTTGTTCACTTCCCCTTTTTCGTGTGTCGCTTTTTTTATTGCGATAACGTGTGCTTCGACGGGGAAATGTCATCGCAAGCGGACTGTCCTCGATTGCCAAGCAAAGGGACGTGTTGCAGCGTCCCTGGGTGCAGCCTGCGTTCAGGAACGAACTTGCTTTCGACTGTGAAAATGTACCGCTTCCCGGCAGATCCTAAGCGGAGAGCTTCATGGCTTCAGGCCATGAAAAGAGACAAGTGGCATCCAAACAACAACAGTCGAATATGTTCGGCGCACTTTCTACAAGGTGAGCTATGAAGTTTCTATCTGTCCTGAATGGTATTTCAATCGCACGCTGGCTGCCCGACCGCACCCACTTTCTACCTGTAATACGAAGGGTAGAGCGTCATTTACTTTGAAAACTTAAACATTGATTGACCGGTCTCAACGTCGCCGATCTACGGAAGAGTGTTCCCCAGATAATAGGGAGATTTAGTAAACCGTTTTTGTACGCTCGATATCAGCACCGGGATGTGTTCCGTAGCCTTGACGCCAGCTTTCGTGCGCTGACCGGAGCAGTATCGGGCCGGGGAAAACGGTTTACTAAACCTCTCTAGTGTTCTTGTAATTTTTGTGGAGTCCGCAGTTGTAGGTAAAATACTTCTCAGACATTTGCGTCCTTAAATTTGGTTTACTTTTGCACTATACTCGTCTACATCAAAGTAACAACTGTGGCAGTAGGATAAGAAGTTAAGTAGCAACAGCAGTGGAGCCTGGCAGTAAGCGTAAAATCAACTTCGCAATTTTTTTTTTTTTTGAATCATAACATTCTCGAACTTCTAGTCTATTGCTATCGGTGTCACAATGCTTATTTATCTGTGAAGATGAAGCGACCCTATGCAGTAGTGCATGCATTTCTTTCAATGTGAAGGTCTCACTTTTTGTGAATTTTTTCAGGATTTTTTTTTTCCGATGAACCCGTGCACCCCGACTACGTACCGTCACGGTTCCCGTGACGGGAACCGTCACTCTTGAAAGGAAACGCTTGGCTGGCTCAATTAATGTCAGAAGTTCAATTAATGTTTGCATTCGTGAAAATAGTTTATTAGTTAACATGTGACAAAAAAGCTCCCACAAATATGAAGGCCATAGAAACAAATTAACTAATTATTTTGTATTGCAGAAATATGCAAAACTATGAATGAAAGCATTTATTCACATTTTTAACAGTCTCTAAAAAATCTCAACCCTGTTCAATGTATGTTTGATGGTAATGGTAACGGAATTCGAAGGTACTATTCGTTATAACTAGGGTGTGTACTTTCCGGTGTTTATTTGTGAGAAAAATCGGCGGATGTTTTTCGGTGTTTATTTATTTTCAAAACACCGGTGTATTTCGGTGGAACGTCTCACGACGAGGCTAAAATCGGTGATTATCGGTGAAAAAAAGCGATTGATCACAGACAGAGAGTTCCAATTTTTTTCACATAGTTCTTACACTTCTTCTCTAGGAAGCAACTATTTCTCACACTTGGTTATTATAGTAGATGCAAGCATACTTTCTTGCTTGCATCTGCACGCAAGGAACGTGCTGCCGTCATGGCAGCACGTTCCTTGCGGTTCGCAACCCGCAATTATGAAAACGCACGCTCTTGTACGACACGGACGTTGGTATTCTCTTCCAGGAACCACAGCAACCTCTGAATACATGGCTTGCACCGACATCACTTGGCCAGACACAATGAGGAAAAGGCGCGTGAGAGCCTACCCTCCACTGCGTTAATTTTTCCCCAAAAGGGGGCCATGGAAGACACAATGGGGGAAAGGCGTGTGAGAGCTTAGCTTCCACTGCGTTCACCAGACGCTTTTGACCCCCAGAAAGGAGGGCGGACTGACGCCACCTGCAAGCCATGGATAAACACTGCAAGAAAGCAAGATCCACGAGATAACACGTTTGACGAACCTCTACGGGGAAAGGGTTTCGCTAGGTCGGAAACTAGCAACGACCGGTGTTTTTCGGTTTTAACCAAGGCGAAAATATCCAACCACCGGTGTTTTTCGGTTTCAACCAATTTTATATTTTCGTCACCGACGGATGTTTATCGGTGTTTTGCGGATAAAACCGGAAAATGCACACCCTAGTTATAACCGAATATTCGCCCATCTCTAGTAAGGAACACTATAATAACAATCTGCATGAAAACTGCAAATAAGCCCAAAACGCGACAAGCATCGGGAAAAAAATCTATAAGCAACTAGTTTAAGAGAAAATCCGCTGATAATAAGTGGAACTGGCCTCCCTGTTGTCTACCGTGACCTGGCTTTGCCAAACAGTGGGCCTATTCTTGCATGCAGCAATCCGAGCACACCCATGTTCTAGGCATTCGTTTCAATTTTACAGATCTCATGTGAACGGCTACAGCGCACGATTCACACCTTAAGACAGATCCAGACTTGCGGCTTTTACAAACACACACAGTGTTTGCCTCTGTGAACTTGTTCAGTAAACCTCGACTGTGTATTTCCGCGAAAATGTAGGAGAAGTAAAACTCTTCAGCCTTGTTGACCGCTGCGACCCAGAAGCTCTCGTTAAACGCCACTTCCTCCACATTAAAATCTTTTTTTTTTTTTTGTGTGTACACTACGAAGAATGTTCTGGTAGTTTTCGTTAGTGCCATCTGCATCTGTACCTGTGCATAATTTAAATGGCTCTCTTTCAGATGAGCATCATTGTCAAGGTAGGACAGTAGCTTCTTGGCGGCATCAATGTTTAGGTGTGCACATGATGCCGCAGATTTGATTTCTAATACCGCATCTTTGCAGCAGCTACAAGATACTATCCCATCAGGAGAAGCACCTAAGTAGGGCCTCTTTTCATCTACGACCAAGCCACAACTTGTGACCTCGAAGCGCTTATGCTTAGGTCCTTCGTCATTGATGAAGCAATTCTTGGCGTTTACCCCGTTGTCTCTCCCCCATCTTACACTGGACACGTTCGGCGCCTTCGTGTAGCCCATGACCTGGGAGACAACCTTCTCCACTCCTGTGCAGCATGAAATCACCTTATCTACGATTGACACCGTGATTCTGCCCTTTCTTTGCCCGAACCACTCGTCCGAGCCCGCTTGAGCACGAGTTGAAAGTTCCACTTGGCTGCACTCCACATCTTTAAGGGTTGTTTCTCTTGCAGCCGTTTCATCCAGGCAGCGTAGAAGCACGCCATGTCCACAAGGGTTCCAAACACTTCAAGTGCATGGTCATCCCCAGCACTGATGCTTGAAGCGGTGTCTGTGTCCTCACTGTCAGTGATGCTCCTAAGCACCAGGGTGGTAGGTGCGACCTTCTGCAAAGATATAGTTGAAGGTTTTAAAAGCAAGCGAACACAACACACGACCCATAAAGACTATGCTAAACTACCAGGAGGTGTATTTTGTCTTTTTGTTGTGAACATCAATACGCCTCTTCCTCACAAACATGCTCGCCTCTTTCTCAATATTTCTTTCTGGTAGCCCCCTCTCACCAGTTAAACGACAAAATTTCGCGATTGTTGCTGCTGTTTTGCTAAACAAGCTAAGCTTTGATGACTGAATGGTTCAGGCTTTTGCCAATTTCTGGATTTCTGCATTTTGCAGAAGATCAGCTTACAATGGTAGCAGTAATTGAGGTGCGGCTTCAGGAGAAGTTCTCTAGTAATTATTTTTCCGGCACATAAAATAAAGCTAGACATGCATATTCAAAGCCAAGCAATTTGTTGACATTATGCGTAGTTTATTTAAAACCAACTATATCGGTATTTAAATGTTGCTCCGAGACGAGATATTAATTAACTATTATCTGCAACGTTGCGTTTACATTTTCACGAACTGTAGAATGCCCTTTTATTAACCAACAATGCCACCAGAATAAATATAGCACTTCACCTTTAGTGACTTGAACAAGTCTTGGAGCTGTTCAGGACCGGCCTCTGGGACAGTTGAGCTTGGCTTGTGTGACGACGTGTCCTTCATTTGCCTCTTCTTCGAAGGCTTGATGAAGTCTCTCGAAGCCACTGGAGCGGCCTGCAGTGTCACATGTAATACTTGCAACTGTCATTGAGGTAAACTATGAGACTGCTTGGACAAGCTCTTGAAAGGGGAACATTCATGAGGCAAGGTGGCACATTCCCAGGTGCGTACCTGTCCACTAGAAGATGCTGCGATCTAGCGGCATTCGACAGAAGTTGAACTTGGGCTCGTGACGCCGAACTTGATGTCAGCTTCAATGCGGAACAGTAGTGCCGCGACGTGACTGCAGGCCTCGCCAAACCTGCAAGGTATGCACCGATATTCACCACGAAAAGCGGCCGCTGCGATTGCGTGGAAAGCAAACCAGCCTCGTAACTTACCCTGTCATGCAGGTGCAGTGCACGCTCTGAACCGTTGCTTCTTTCTTGACCGCAGCCCATGGTAAGTGGTAACGGCCAAGAATTTGGCTGGCCTCCACCTCGCCAGTCACAAGACGATGCGATCGCTTTCGACTGCAGCTTCAAATGAGCGAAGCCCGCGTACTTTTCCGCTCAAGAAAAGATTGTAGCCGTCTTCAAGCTTGTAACTTTTAAATTGTTCTCTCGTGTACAAAACACACCTTCCACGAGATACACGTACACATCGCCGATTTCCACTTGTGGCCACCGACGAGTGTCTGTGAAGAATGCATGCCTCCGGACATCGGGATCCAACGGATCGGAGAGCTCCTCGCTCGTGACCGTAACCTTTTGCCGGTAGCGCGTCCTAGCTGGCTCTTCCAGCTCTCGGAAGTACGAACTGGACATTCCAACAAAATAAACTCGTCAATGTGGAGTATTACTTCTAACAAATGAATAATCCAAGCGGCGCTGCGCGTTTCGACGCTCTGCAGAGGTGAAACGGGCTGGACCGGAAGTCCTGACCGGAAATGACCGGGGGTTAGCCAATATGAGGCCAGGCGCCGGTTTGTTGACAAACAAATCGTGGTGAGTATATACTTGGGTAGAGAACGGCTTCGCTTCCTTTTTGCCTTTTCTTGCCCCCCCCCCCCCCCCCCCCCCCCCCGACCCCTCTTCGCGACTGGTCGTGACGACTGGGCTCGTCGCAGCGAAAACGGTTACTGACCCCTGGTTTAGAGTGTTCGTCAAACTAGGTGTAACTACACACTGCACGTATTACTCATCTCAACACCTTCCGATTGTCTCCACCGGAAGGGAAACACGTTGGTAACACCTGTCGTTGGCGTGCCCTTTTTGCCGAAGCAGTCTGCCGCTTCATTACCCGTGAGGCGCCCTAGAACCCACTCAAGTGCGATGTCGTGAACTGCCTGAATATCCGCCATCATTCCAAGTAAACGTTTGTGAATGTATGGTTTGATAAGCAGGGGCGGGGGGGGAGAGGTTGGAGAAGTTTCGACCCCCCCCCCCTTCCTCCCCCTTCCCCCCCCCCCCCCCCCCCCCCCCCTTCCCCTGCCTACGCCACTGCCGCCACATATTCAGGTGATTCCGCTTCTGATGTAGATGTAGATACGAGAGTTGATGTCAGAGCGTTTCGCACGCGCAGCATAGCTCGACTGGGGCCGGAAGGGCATTGTCTTTTAGGCCACGTGGTTGGATAACTGGAACTGAACTGCGACGCGTGTGCTTCAGACATGGCGAGAATCGGGAGGCTGGAGGTGATGAACAAACTGGCCAAAAATCGCCATTCTTCAATCGCAAACCATTTGCGTTCTACTTGAGCAACAAAACAATGTCGGTACAATTCATTCGTTGGTACAACTGCAGTTAACGGGCGCACAGAGGTGCAATGATACGCTCCACCTAAAGTTCTATTTGCACTTCATGAAGGTATCTGGCCTCCTGTGCTGTAGTTACAATTGCCTTCAATGCAGCAAACAGTATCGGGAGCAGCAACTTCTTTAAATTTTCTAATCCGGTAGTTGTGTTTTGTCGCAGAGGAACTGTAGACGGACTGGCATCAACTGCCTAGCTGTGCCTCAGCTTTTATTGCTATCAAAGTCGTATGTGCCAAAATTGAGTCACGTCCTGTCATGGTTGTTGGTGGCCTCCGTGGAGGAATGCATGGTGGTAGCAGTGGTGGAAGTAGCGCGGGTGGTACCTTTGGTGGCAGTGCCACTGACACCGCAACTTTGATAGGTTGGTCATACGTAAACCTTGAACATTTGTGCATTTTATTCAGAGGCGCAGGAGACACAGGTCTCACTGCCTCTGGATTGGGTGGTGGCAAATAAAGCGCCGTTCACACTCTTGCGACCGAGTAAGACCGAGAGAGACCAGACCAGTTTTTAAGCCTTTTGCGGCTTCTTAGGACCGGATGCGCTGCAGCGGAGCTGGTCCTAAGAGATCGCAAGAGGCTTAAAAACCGGTCTGGTCTCTCTCGGTTTTACTCGGTCGCAAGAGTGTGAACGGGCCTTAACGCTTAAGGCCCGTTCACACTCTTGCGACTGAGTAAGACCGAGAGAGACGAGACCGGTTTTTAAGCCTCTTGCGATCTCTTAGGACCAGCTCCGCTGCATCGCATCCGGTCCTAAGAAGTCGCAAAAGGCCTAAAAACCGGTCTCGTCTCTCTCGGTCGTTCTCGGTTGTAAGAGTGTGAACGGGCGTTTAAGGTCCGTTCACACTCTTGCAACCGAGTACGACCGAGAGAGACCAGACCGGTTTTTAAGCTTCTCGCGACGTCTTAGAACCGGATGCGCCGCTGCGGGGCTGGGTGTAAGACGTCGTAAGAGGCTTAAAAACCGGTTTGGTCTCTCTCGGTCGTACTTGGTTGCAAGAGTGTGAACGGGCCTTTAAGCGCCGTTCACACTCTTGCGACCGAGTCAGACTGAGAGAGACCAGACCGGTTTTTAAGCCTTTTGCGGCTTCTTAGGACCGGATCTGATGCAGCGGAGCTGGTCCTAAGAGATCGCAAGAGGCTTAAAAACCGGTCTGGCCTCTCTGGGTCTTACTCGGTCGCAAGAGTGTGAACGGGCCCTTAGCCGTCATGCCGTGAATCAGCTCTAGTTTGCCCAATGCGACAATCTCTTTGTTTTGTACAAATGCCATGAACGATGCGACATATGGTACAACGCAGTCTGCTCACTTAGGATGGTTTCTGGAGCTGCATTCTTCAGGATTGTGCGGGCCTGCGCACATCTCACATCGCTGAGGTCTGTGACACGCATTAGCAACGTGTCCATACCTTTGGCAACAGAAACAGCGCACCGCTTGTTTCAAAGTATGCTTTCACCGAGTAACTAATAAAAAAAAAAAAAAAAAAACTTGTAAAAGTGTGGACAGTTTTTTTTTTTTTTTTTTTTCATTTGTAAGTTGATACTGGTTCGTGGATGATTGACGACGCTATCGTCGCCTTGCGGAACATTGGCAATTTGAATCTGACAGTGTTATCTTACAGACCCTTTGTCTGTAAGATAACACAGGGGTTGTTTATCTGTGCACTCATTTTATCTTGTCCAGATTCCTCAGGTAAGACTGCGGTACATTTGCAGCGATGTCAATTCGAGCAACGGTTTTCAACGCTAGAAGCTTATTCGCTGACGACAAAGACGCGACATTTACCAGAAAGCGTCCATGTTTGGGGAACTTATGTGAAGTTACTTTTTCTTGTGGTAATTATTTTGTTGGCGATTCGGTTTGGGTTCACATGCCAGAAAGAGTGTCTTAGTTTATTTGAAGATGATTTGAATGCCTTCGGAGTACTTTTTCAGGCATGTCACTGGTGTAAACAGTGTCTCGATCGTCACGATCAACCTCAATTTCGTCTCCTAGTGGATAGGTGGAAGTACTTGCACTGTCCGCCAGCAGACACAATTACTTTTCTGGCGTCGTTCCAGAGTCATCCACTTGATGACATGTAGGGCCTTAACAATCAGCTGGAGGAAATAATTTTAGATGGTCGTTGTAGCGGGGGTTGGCAAACGCCATGGGCGGAGAAGCGAGCCTCCACAGCATGACCTTACACGCTGATGCTTGTACTCGATTGTATCTGCATAG